GTCGGTGGTAGTGTCTTCCATCCAGATCGCCATCTGTGGATCAGTGGGGAGTAGGGACTACTGGATCAGCAGATGTCCCCGGGACTGCAGGTTCCACTTCCCCCTCGGTGTCTCTCCCTTTGCGGCTCCAGGAGCTGGGGCAGCCGTAGGGCTCAGAATTCTCCTCTCCTAGGGAGCTGAGAGTTCTCTTCATCAAGTCGATAGCTTTCTCTAGGATCCAGCCCGAGTACGGTGCCCAGTTCCCTTCCTCTTCACTTGCGTGCAGGGATTTCTCCATCTCCTGCTTCCATTCTGGTTAGTTGGCCCCCTGTCTCACGGCCACCTTTCTTGATTTCTTTTCCCACTCGCCTTTCTTCCCAACGCCCATTGACCAACGAGGTTTGTGGTCCCGTGTCTCCACCACCTCTTCTCCTGAGGAATCTGACCTCTCAGATCCCGACATCTGGCAGGGTTTCAGTTGGGGCAGCGGCTCCCTTTCCGGGGAGTTTTCTCCCTTCGTTGCTCCATCTGACATGGTAATTTTTGCAAAATCCCCCGGCAAGGTTCTCCCTTCCAGGTGGACTAATTTTGCAAGTCCTGTCTAATGTAAGGACCCACCCCACTTTGCATCTTAAGAAGACAGAATTTTTGGAATATTTCTTCCAACAGGCATCCTTTATTAAGAGAAAATGGTGGCAGGCGTTCTAGACAGGACTTGGGGGCCAAGTTCTACAGTTCAAGATTTTAAGGGGTCCCCAGCAGCCCCACCCCACCCCATCATCTTTCCAGTGACAATCCCAGGCATTACATTTCCACCCTCTTTTTCCTCACTGCCGGTGGAAGGGAGACTTCAGAAACGAGTAGATCAGTGGTTCTCAACCTGTGGGTCGGGACCCCATTTGGGGTCGAATGACCATTTCACGGGGGTCGCCAAACAACGCAGTCTGCCATTTTTTCCCCTTTTCCTTAGCTGTGCTACTCCCTTTTATTCTATTGGCTTGAATAGAGTCTAATTCTATTGGCTTTCAAAAACCAATAGGAATTGTCCAGGCTGTCTCTGCCTTTCTGAGCCCACCAAAAGTCCCATTCTGCAAAGGGTGCTGCACCAGTTGAGTAGTCCTCGACTTACGACTGGGTGAGTAGTCCTTGACTTACGACCGGTTTGGGGTCGCGGCATTAAAAAGGTTGAGAACCACTGGAGTAGATGAAAGCTGATGGTCCCATTGTTATGCTTTAGTCCTTTTGGTGGTATCCACATTCAATTCTTTTGAAGTTGTACCGAAGGAAGTGAGGGCCATAAAACCCCTTTGTTCACCCCCCTTCCCCTTCATCGTATGACAGAATCCAGAGAGGGCAGAAATGGGATTTTCCATAGTCGATAACTAGAGATGAAATATAATTGGATTCTGACACTCGTTTAGCCCTTATCCACACAGAGGGTTCTCTACCAATATATAAAAGCAACAGATTAAGCTTCAGGAAGATGTATGAAGACACCCTGTTATTTCTGGATCCATGTTTCTTTCCAGCCAATTTACTGCCACTGAATCACACTCTTGGCTTTGAGTATTTTCTGCAGTCTGTGTTGTTTGTATTATTTCTGAGTGTACAATTCTTGCCAATGAATTCTTTTTGTGGATCTAAACAAAGACTACCAACTTTCTGTCTGGTCCCACAAGGAACTGCAATCTTCAAGATTGCCTCTCCCAGGTGAGTCCAAAGCCATCCAAAAGTTATCTTGGATCATTCCTAAGTGCCCCCATTCAAATCCAGGGAGCAGGGCTGCCAAACAACCAGCCCCGCAATCAACACAGTAGATTGTGGGTAAGAGAAGAAAGAAGCCCTCACTCTTCAGCAACTCTAACCCTAATCATTTTTGGGAGGAGCTTTAATCCACTATATCAAAAAGACTTTGGGTGGGTTGTAACACATTAAAATTATAATTATTTCATAGGAATGAATCAAAATATAAAAAACAACAAATCAACACTCTCTGAACATAAAGTAAAATTTAGATAATGATGAAGGTTCAAACGAAATTATTTCAGTCTGCAAAGTTACTGCCTAATATAATCTGAGGTTGCTATATAGGGCACAATAGGTAATCCTCGATTTATGACCACAACTGAGCCCAAAATTTCTGTTGTTAAGTGAGAAATTTGTTAAGTGAGTTTTGCCCCATTTTATGACCTTTCTTGCCACAGTTGTTAGGTGAATCACTGCAGTTATTTTGTAACATGGTTGTTAAGTGAATCTGGCTTCTGCTTTGACTTTGCTTGTTAGAACCTCACAAAAGGCGATCACATGACCTCGGGACCCTGCAACCATCATAAGTATGAGCCAGTTGACAAGCATCTGAATTTTGATCACATGATCATAGTAATGCTGCAACAATTTTAAGTGTGAAAATGGTCATAACTTACTTTTTTTAGTGCTGTCATAACTTTGAACAGTTACAAAATGAACTATTGTAAATCAAGGACTACCTGTACCAGCAGTTTGAAATGGGCCGAGAAATAATACTGGTAGTCTAGTCAGTGCATTAACTTGCAATGGCACGGCTGAACTAACAATAATCTTGTCATCACACCAAATTCCAGTTGGACTCCAAATACTGCTCCAGGTAGATTAAAGTAATTAATTAAGTAGTTACAGTAATAGAGATAGGTGATGATAAAGTAATGAGTTACTAGTTGCATAATATCTTCATGGTAGCCAAAGATGATCAAATGGCTCTGTTATAACCCCCATATAGTTTATGTAATAGCCACAAGTCCAGGTGGAGCCTTAAATCATGCATTAACTCCCTTCAGGGAGGAGTATGACCACATCAAAAATAACTACAGGACCAGTGACCCTGGATGATTGCCGTTATACCTAAGCTCAGTCTTGGGAGGGATTTACATTTAACTTTATTTTGCCTGACAACCTCCAAACATTGATTCAAATGTGACACATCACTGACTTAGCATGGGATGACAATCTATAGCTGACTCTCTATACAATCCTAACGCATGGATAACCTGCCACAGTGGATACTGAAGAGCATAGCTAAAGAGCAAGGCTGAGGTACTCTATACTAGTGTTAAGTGCTGCTCTACAATTTAAACTATTTGGGTAGGAGTAGAATCTACATCTACAAATGTAAGCATAGTCATCTTGGAACTATATCCCAGTTTGAAATCCAACTGAAAAAGTGCAGACTTCCTTTAGGGCTCTCTGGAGCTAAAAAGCACCCACCATCTCAATAACTTTTCCTAAAAAGGAAGATTGCAAGCTAGATGAAAATTGTTCAGTACCACTCAGTATATCTTTGCACAAAAGAAAGTAAGATATTTTTAAAAAATTATCATAAATTTAAATTTTATATATAAAAGTCATTATTTTAATTCTGAAGCTATACATGGCTTTATAAACCAAACCCACAACTCTCTACCCACTAAATTGGGAAGAGAAACTAAGAATAATGTGGTTTAATGTAATATCACTGTTCATGATGCCCAATTTCAGCTACTTCTCTCATTGCCATATTTTGTACTAATGAAGCTCTTCAGACCATCTTCAAGGAAAACCTCATGTGCAATGCATGGATTACTGAAATTAGGTTCTCTCCAAGTCACAAGTGTGCCAGCTAAATACAGGATGCCTACCTCTAATGACAATACTGTTTTTAAAGCATTCCATGTTTTGGAGCTACCTGTTTCAGAACAGAATGAATGCCATTCATTTGGACAACTGACCAATAAAATAAACTTTATTTGGGGGTTAGTTTATTAGCTCATATTCAGCTAATTACTGCAACCAGGCACTAATAAAATATTTCTGCATACCAATTAGACCAGAGGTCACCAACCTTTTCATGCTAGTGGCCTGGAGGGAGAGGGAGCAGCTGGGAAATTTGCATGTGCATGCACGTGCGGAAACTGGGCCAGACCCACCCACACGGGGCTAGCGGCCCCGTTTGTGTAGGTGTGCAGGTGCTAGCTGCAGCTGCTAGCCCCGCGCACATTTGCAAACGGGCGACGCAACCCTCATGGGGCTAGCAGCCCCATTTGTGCATGCGCACAGGCACTAGCCACCACTGCTAGCCCATGTGCATGCGCAAATGGGTTGTGCAACCCGCCCGCTAGCAGCCCCCATTTGTCACTGCTAGCCCCCATGCACAAGCACAAACGGGCCATGCAATCCACACATGTGCTAGTGGCCCCGTTTGTGCAGGCGCGCAGATGCTAGCTGCCGCTACTACCCTGGATATATGTGCAAATGGATCCACATGCGCTAGCACAAGTTGGAGTAACTGCATACTGGCCAGCCTGTCCCACAGCCCAGTGGCCAGTAGGCCACGGCCCATAGGTTGGAGACCTCTGGATTAGATCATTAGTACCTTTTACATAAAATGACTCCAAATAAACTGACCTAGACATATTATGTACAGCATTTAAAACCAAAAGGTTGAACTGAAATATCTTAACACCACCTCTTGGAAAAAGCAATCTAAATGTGACTGGAATTTTTAGAAAGATGTATTACTATAACTAAGTTGGCAAAAGGGAAGCTAGACTGATAGTAAAATCAAGAGTGTCTCCTTCTTAGAAAAGTTAATCCCACTGTTCTAGTGGTAAAACCAGGCTTGAACTGCAACTGAACCGCATCTACAAAATGATTTCCTACAAGAATGTATGGCACTGATCAGCTCCCTATCCAAATCACAAGGAAAGTAAATGAGGAAGCCAGCAGGATTTCAATGGATGGGAGAGACAAAGAGGAGAGAAGGAGTAAAGAGAAAGGGAGAGAAAAGGAAGATTTCCAATTCTCACTGCCTGCTTCTCAGAAGAAAACTCAGTGGGGAAGCCAACAGGAAATCAGAAGTCCCTTCCACTGATTTTTTTGCCCACCCATAGTCATTCTGTTTCTCTGTTTAGATACTGAAATATCTCTAAAATGATAACCCAACAGACCACAGGTTGTCTAGCTATTTAAAATAAAAGGTTTATATATGAACTATGAAAAATAAGATTTACCTGTTTTTCTGAGTGGAAAATCATCTTTAGAATCATACATTCCTAATACAGGGTGATTGTAAGCGCCTGACATTCCACTCAGTGGTGGAGAGCTCTGATCAAGAGAACTATGTTGTGTTTTCCTAAAAAAATAAAGTGTTATTACACAGGTTAAGAATAATATCTCCACTGTTTATACTGTTGCCTCCAAATCACATTTCTCTTGTTTTCTATTCTGCTACAAGACCCAACAGATTAATACAATTAATATGTCTCCAATCTGTACAGATTGTTAGGAATATATTTTACAACTGACAATGAACATTTTTTAATTTAATTAATTGAAACTTTCAGCATTTTATAGCTAACATTTTATAGCATTTTAGAACTAACACTTATTCATTTATTATTTTATTTTATTTTAACATGTTTCTAACCTATAGGCTAATGTATTTGTCTCTCCTTCAAACCATATAATTACATGTGTGTTATACAAGTATTAATAGGGCTTTTAGATTTCCTATAGTTTTCAAGGCAGCATTCAGGGTTTTGGCTTTGATATTGGCTTTGATCTTTAAAGCTTGAAACAGCTTATGTCTGTATTTATTTCTATATCTATTTGCTTTTATGACACCTCAAGGGGAATGCAACCAAGTGATATAATAAAAGCATTAAAATATATAAATTACAATGTAAATGTCAAAACACAGTAACATCTTGAACATTTTTCAACTTCCAGTGAAAATTATGATAAACTGACATCTTGCTGGCATTCAGATTGCTTTACAAAGAGAATCACAGCTGGGTGTTAGATGTAGATTGGCGAAATCTCTCTGGAGGAAAGAGATACTTTTGACATAATACATATGAAAAGTCAAGGATTTGGTTTATTTGATCAAGGTTAAAATAGAAAATTTGCTATATGGTTTCCCTTACTGGACCTTTCCTGACAAAGAACAAATACTAAAGAATTTTGATTTTGGTTTTTAGTCAAGAGATGAGTTATGGAATAAAGAGAGTTTGTTATATTTAGAGATAGTAATGAGTTATTAAAATTGTTTCTACCTACTGGGATGAAAGGGAAAGTTATCCTATTTTTTATTTTTTATTTTTTTTACACTTACCTTTTTTGTAATTTTATTTTTGCATTTTTGTCGTCTGTATTACAAATACTTTTACTTTTTCTATTTGTAATTCTTCGTAAAATTATTTGAAAAAAACACATAGCCACCTCTCATAACACAATTCCACCTTATGCTCATCAATCCAAAATGACATGCAATGTTGAAACAGTGGCACCATTCATTTCAGGTATCTAGTCTTCATTTCACAGTCCAAATGTTCTTTAGAAGATATTAATAATTTTCTAAATATCAACATTCAACATGCAAAACTTGTATTTGGAGAAACCCTGAACAAATTACCCATCTTCATATACCATCCTACCACAACTCATGTAGCAGATATTCTCTGCCATGGATGGGCAGATTCTTTAAGTTACCAGGTCTATAACCATGAAAGACTTTAAAGGTAGTAAACATAATAACCAGCACCTTAAATTGTACTAGAAAGCAGTGCTTGGGATACTGGAGTTATATGACTATATGAGGTAGTTTTTATGGGCAGCTGTTGGTCTGATGGGTGGTCTTCAAGGGCAGCCCAAACATAAAACGACAAGAGCACAAATGATTGTGACTCATGCTTCCCATGTTTTGTTATTTCTTTCAATATAGCAATAGCACTTCTGGCGGAAGATGTCCCCTTGCTTGTAGCTTTTCTTTTGGTCTGCTACAGATTCTCCAGTTTTATACTTTTATACTCAGAAGAAATTTCCCTGGGAAAGGGGGAAATCTGGAAATCAACATTCTTGCTCCCAGATAGCTGGGCACTTTCAGAGTGCTTCTTGAAGAAAAAGTAATTGGGTGAGTCTCTGGCAGGGTCAAGGCAACCAAGAAGCAAGTTCACTGTGGAAGAACCAGCCATTTAAAACGGACAATAAAATGTGTCACCACTTCTTAGGCACTAGCTTTTTGCATATTTATCTTTCATGTTAAAAGAGGTTTCCTCTGACTGCAGCTTGCTTTTTCTTTTTTGTTGAAACATTATTTCTGAAGGTCCATGACTATAAGGAGGTGAGGAGTTGGTGTATTAGAGCCAAAATAAATAACCTGGAAATTACTGTGGAAACTACTTTTGACACTTTCGGATTTAAATTTTCTAGAGAATTTTATATCTTTAATTGACTCATCTGAATTTTTTTTTAAAACAAAGATTGCCTAAATAGTGTTTTGATCTTGCTGTGAGGATGGGGAGAAACAGTTCCGATTTTACTTGCTTTTGATTGAACTAGTTGTGTGGGCTATTAAACAAAGAGGCAGACACTAAGTTCTTTTTTTGCAACTTATAATACATTGGTGTTGTTTGGCCATGAGAGGGAGTCAAAAGACTGCCAATCCCTTTTGATTCTCCAGTAGTATCATTTAACCCATTGGATTTTATGTTACAAACCTACAAGTCTAAAACTCTTAACTTTAAAAAAGGGAGCAGCTGGAAAATTTGTGTGCATGTGCACATGCGTGTGTGTGGAAACAGGGCCATGCGCAGCTACACGGTGCTAGCAGCCTCATTTGCATAGGCATGTAGGCACTAACAGCCACTGCTACCCCCACACACGTGCAAACGGGCTGCTCAACCCACATAGTGCTAGCGGCCCCATCTGTGCATGCATACTGGTGTTATCCGCTGCTGCTCGCATGCATGCGCAAATGGGCTGTGAAACCCATATGCACTACCGGTCACCATTGGCACATGTGCACAGGGACCAGCCACCAGGCTAGCCCCTGTGTAATTGCGCAAATGGGCTATGCAACCTGCTCGTGCGCTAGAGGTCCCGTTTCTGCAGGCATGCAGGTGCTAGCCGGTCCATGCTAGCGTGTGCATGCACAAACGGGTCTGCAGGCGCTAGTGCGAGTGGGGGTGAATATGCGCACTAGCCAGTCTGGTGACCAGTAGGCTACGGCTCAGTAGTGGGCCGCGGCCCATAGGTTTGGGACCCCTGTCTTAGTTCACTTTGTAAGAAGAAGAACGAGAGATCATGTTCTGGATTGCCAACTCAAGAATGAAATGCATGGATATAATTGTTCTGAAGGAAATTCCTGTTAAAAAAAGGAAAGCCTATTCTTTCCTTACTGATATTCTGAAGAAGAGAAAAATTCTCTTCCACTGGAATAAACTTGAAGGAATGATACTCACTCATCAAGAGCAAAGATTCAGACTGAATTTCATAGAAAAAAGCCAAGGATTTCTTGATCAGACCCTTGATTTGGACCTAGCTGAAGAAATGGACACAGATAAGAAATCAGAGTCAACCTCAAAAATTGAAATCGAAGAAGATGCGGTTAAGAGATCTGTAAAGAAACTTAGCAGATTTTCTAAAGATAGAAATTAAGTCTATTACATGCAATATTAATGGGGCAAATGTTACCTGAGAAAAGTTAATGTTGATATAACTTGCCTTCAAGAAACACATATCAAGATACAAAATAAGAAATACTTAATAAATAAACGATTAGAGAATGTCAGAACCCAGTTATTCCCCCCAGATTGGCCTAAGTGACAGCAGCTCACACGCCCCCAGTTCCTCCGACGAAGCCGCAGACATCGAGCACTGGAATAAGCCAAGGTGGTTGATAGGCATTGGAAAGAAGGAAGACTGGGACTGGAAAGCCAGAAAAGTGACCCTCAAATGGGCAGTGACCAACCAGGTTGGAAGCGGGAGATGGAGAGTGTCCATCTCAGTGAGGACGAGGACGAGAGACATGCCTGTTCTAGCTGGTTCCTAGGGCAAGCAATCAATATGCTGATATTTTGACTCCCTAAAGGAGGAGAAGATGGATACATGCCGGGGCTCGGCAGAAAAAGTACGCACAGAGAGCGAGGTTGCAAACCCGGGCCCTTCCACCAGCATCTCGGAGATTGCAACAGCTGCGGCGGTGGCTACCACCCCAGCGCAAGTTGTGCCAGCTGACGGAGACGGGCACCGGGCCAGATGGAAGAAAGACCCCCAGATTGTTGCAGACGGTGGCAACCCTGGCAGCATCCTGGAGCAAAATTTCTATGGAATTTATTGTGGAATTACCAGAGAGTGGGGGGGAATACTGTCATTTGGGTAGTTACAGACCTGTTCTCTAAGCAGATGCACTTCATCCCATGTCAAAAAATCCCCAGAGCAAAGACACTAGTGAAGCTGTTTGTGCAACACATATACTGACTGCATGGAGCTCCACAGTGAATATTAGATAGGGAGTGCGGTTTACAAGGCTTTCCTGGACCTTTTGGGGACCACTCAGGGGTTATCATCTAGTCATCATCCGCAAGCGAATGGTGGGTCAGAATGTTCAAACTCAGTATTAGAACAATACTTAAGATGTTTTATAAATTACCAGCAAGACAACTGGGCCAATCTGCTTCCTTTTGCAGAAGTTGCATATAACAATGCAGTTCATTCCAGCACCGGCTATACGCCGTTGCAAGTCGCAACAAGACAAAGCTTTTACCCAATACCTGAACTATCAACTAATGAACCCACATACCTTCTCTGAAGGAATGGATAGCACAACTCCAGAATACCTGGTCGGTTATGAGAAAAGCCTTAGATGAGGGAGGCATACAAGGTTCAAGCAGATAAAAAACAAATAGAACCTAAGCCCCTCCAAGTAGGGGAGAAAGTATACCTGTCCACAAAATATTTAACATCTTTACAACTGTCAAAGAAGTTGGGACCTAAATTTGTGGACCCTTTTCCCATTAAACAGATAATAAATCCAGTGATGGTAGAATTGAAACTCCCTAAAATTCTAAGACAGTTTCACCCTGTATTTCACTGTAGCCTATTGAAAGGAGAACTAATCCTGCCCATAAGGCCAGCTGCAGCTCCTCCTCTTCCTCCAATCATGATGGAAGGAGAGCAACATTTTGAGGTCAAAGAGATCCTAGACTCTAGAAAATATCATGGTTCCACACAATACCTAATAGCCTGAAAAGACCTACCTCCTTCCCAAAATGAGTGGGCCCATAAATGACATGTTAAAGCACCGAGATTACTTAATAAATTTCATGCTAAATTCCCTGACAAATCGGACTAACCCATGTATGTTTTCTTTCCTTATCTTGTTCCTTCTGCAGGTGGATCTCTCATTTTTAAGGGGGGTGGTGGCATGTCAGAACCCAGTTATTCCAGGAGGAAAGAAATTTCTTTATTCTATGTTCCGGCGGGTTCTGCCATACTTCTGAGCAGAGGAGGGAAAGCTATGGGCGCTACAATGTATTCTCTCTGCTTTTCTCCACTTTCCTCTATCTGCTTGCTCTTTGATCTATTTCCCTTGCTGTCAGCCTGGGGTGAGAATGGAATGTACCTCCGGCCATCTCCCTTATCAATAACGGTGGAAGAAGAGGCACGAAGACCTAACAGCCTAACAACCTTGGGAATGGCATCTTATCAACCCCGTTACCATAGCGGGTTCACACCTGGAGATTGGCTCATTTGAACTGACCAGATGGACTATGGGGTGGGGTTTGTCAGTTACTCTTTTAACATACTGATCTGAGTGGGAAACCCTCAGATCCTGCCTTTTATACCTGTTGTCAACTTCTCCTAATAAAAGTTTCTTTTGGAATGAAGCTGTTCCAGGAGTTCTGCTTTCTTGGGAAGAGGGATTGAGGCAGGTCCTTACAAGGAATTTATATCAGCTGGTTTAAAAAAGATCATTGGAGTTGTTTTATGCAGTATATAAAACCCCAATTTAAACCTTACTTTTATTAGATGAATATAGTAGATTTGTAGTAGTGGAAATTAACTTAATGGAATAAAATCAAAAATAGTTGGACTTTATATGCCAAATGATGATAAAAGTAAATTTTCTGAATATCCTATGGATCAATATACTACCCTTTTCATATGAAAATTGGCTTATGCTGTAGAATTGGAATGGAGTGATTTCCCCAGTTTTGGATAGAACATCTATCAAAGGGATTAAATCCTCCCAGGGTAAATTACCAAAGACTTTTTTTGAGATGATGGACAATTTAGCATTAATAGATTTGTGGATGGGGGGGGGAATGGCTCTGCTAGAAAATATACTTTTTTTCCAGAAAGACATAAATCCTTTTTAAGGATTAATATGATATGAACATCTAAAAAGCTTACAAATAAAATTATAAAAGTTGACATTTTACTGAAATCTTTTTCTTAACCACAATCCAGAGGGCAAGGAACTTTCAATATAATGTAAAGCTTGAACAATGGGAGAATATGTGGATGAAAGGTTTAAAATTTACATTAAATTACAATTTAAAAGAAAAATTTTATAAGATGATGTCGTTGGTATTTAACATCAGATAAGTTATCAAGAATGTATAAAGTATTTCAAATGAATGCTGGAAATGCAAATGTAAAGAAGGGACTTTTTATCATTTATGATGGACATGTGATAAAGCAAAGAAATATTAGAGTAGGATTCATATTATAATACAGAAGATTCTTAAAGTGAATATAAAGATAAAACCAACAATTTTAAATTTGGGTTTAATGGAAAAAAAACTTGGAAAAAGTTTTGTGAACTCATGTTGATGGCAGCAAGATTACTTCCAAAAATGGAAGGATGCTTCAATCCCCACAATGGATGAATGGTTGCAAAAGCTGATGGGAATTAGCAGAGATGGCTAAATTGACTGCTTTGATAAAAGAAAAAAACACAATTACTTTTGTTTCTATTTGGCAACCACCCCTGGACTTTTTCCTTGTAGTGGAAAAAAATGAAAATTTGATTTTGGGTTTTACTGATTAAATAGATCTGTTGTTATAGAAATGGCTAGCTTATACTACTATGTAAAAGTAAAAAGATGTTGCAGCACAGGCCCTCAATTTAATAACCTCTAAGGATGGAAGGCAAAGTCAACCTTGAGCCAATCAGGATCGAACTCCTGGCTATAGGCAGAGTTAGCCTGCATTCTAACCATTGTACCACCACAGCATTTAATGAAAGCATGGATAAAAAGCATGTTTGGGAATAAAAAATAGAAATCTAAATGATTGATGCTGATGTATGAATTTAATTTTGCAAATGAGAGAACAAAGTTAACATATTGTACAAGCTTCTCAGAAAGCAGTTCACATGTGAAAGAACTTTTCCTATTGTCCAATCTCTACATTAGAAATTCTAACTTGCTCAGAATAACATAACCATGTTGAAAGTGAAACTAGGCCGAAATGTCAACCAGTCCTTCTTATTAGCAAGGTAATGCTATATTAGTCTAACTATGGCTGATAAATGCTTACTATTAGTCTAACTATGGCTGATAAATGCTTACTATTTTTAATCCTAGTAAAAAAGTTATGTGAAAGCCTCACCTGACCAAAACCCACAAGAGAGTGAACATCAAAATTCATGGCTAAAGAATTTAAATATAAGACAACTATAGAGTAAAATGCAAGAATTAGTAAGTTATGTTGTACAATTGTAAAATTAAAACAAAAGGGAAATGTAGTATTCTGATTCAAGGTGTCCAATAGAGTAGGGTTGATAATTTGTGTGTGAAAATTAAGATATAGGTTTAATTGAGAACAAAGGGTTAAAGTGTATGTCAGAAAGTATGAATGAACTGATGTGGGTGTGCATGGAAACCGGAATTTATAGCTTAATTATAGTGGCATATAATACAGTGAATGATGATAATGGAACAACAAGGCATGGCTTTTGGGAAAGTATGATCAATTTTAAAATGCGAAAATTATGAGAATGAAGGTTCTGAAAATGAGAAAGACATTTTTTTCTCAGTATCAAAAGTTGTCAGGAAACATAATAGATGAAAAGGAAAAAAAGTGAAATCAACTAGACTGAAAGTAGAACAGGAAAAGTGTTGTAAGAAACAAATAATCTCCAGTAGAATGAATGGAAAGAAGATATCAAGGTTCTTAGCAACAGAGTGAAAAGAATATCAAAGAAACCTACAGTCTCACTAATCAGCTGAAGAACCAAACCAAGAGCTCCACATGGTGAAGAAGACAGAGCATTGCGAGGCAAATTGGACTCGCAAATTGTCATCTTGAAGCAAGCCATTGACTTCCTGAGGGATGCTTTCCAAGACTGGCTGGCACTACCACCTGCCCAAATGGCTCCCGACCAGGCAGGTGACAGTGCAGCTGTACCTGTTGTCATGGCTGCAGCAGCCCCTACACCACCTCCACCAGCACCAACACCATAGCTACCACTGATGTGGGTCGCCGCTCCATGGAGAAAGAAGTGCAGCTACCTACCCTGGGAGTGAAATTTAGCAGCAAACCAAAGCAATTAGCATTTTTCTTACCCAGCTGTGGACTTGCATGGAGGAGTATGGAGCTGACCTGCCAATGGAAGGAGCCAAGGTATGGAGCATGACTTTGGCGCTGGAGAGGAAAGAGACAGAATGGATGGTGACACTCCTCAATGACAATGTGGTAGAGCTGTGCAATTTCAACAGATTTATGGGAGCCCTCCAGAAGAGGTTCGAGGAATCCTAGCTGATAGAAAAGCCAGGAAGAAAATCAAGACCATAATGCAAGTCAGACGACCCATGGCTGCTTACATTCAAGAATTTAAGTTTGGCGACTTCCAGTGGGTATGCTGTGCTGATGGCAGCTTTCTTTGGGCTGCCAGCCCTGTGATTGTGTAAAAGCGCAGGCTTGGAAATCTCTTCCTCGGGAGAAGAGGGGGAGGAGAGTTTACCTCAGGTAGAGGTAGAGCTCCCCTAGACCTCCTTAATTATTTGGAGGTCAGAGGGGGTGAGTTCCCTCGAAGCCAGAGGCTTTCTCCGCACTCCAGGACGCCTTTGCTCCAAGCTTCAGGAGCAAAGCAAGACGCCGCACCCACATCTGCATTTCAAAGGGACTTGTGAGTAATTTAAAAGCAGATGGAGCTGATCAGGAGAAGTTAAAATTGTGAATGCTTGAAACTTTAACTCGAGAGAAATAATCTTCTCCATATTTTAATTTGACTTAAAGGAAAAAATGGCGCCAGAATGTTGTTTCTTTGTTTGAAAGGACAGTGTCAAGAAAGAGCTACATTTGGAAACAAAGTTTAAACAATGTATTAGACTTTGGTTATTTACTTAAAAAGCAAGAATTTTTACAGAATATTTTTTTCTTTCTTTTCTCTTTTTCCTTCTTTTTTCTGGGATCTCGCTTTTTACTTTCTTACTTTGTGATTGTTGATTTTATAAGAAGTGGACTTATACAGACAGGAAAATGGCTTCAAAGCGTTTGGGAATTTCTGCTGTCCCTAAAAGTTCAATTTCTTCTCCTGTAACACAGCCTGCACTGCAAACTTAACCTAAATCCCCCCCCCCACCTTCTCCCCCACCACCGGCACTTACGCTTAATGATATTCAAGATGCTTTGAAAAAAGAGACACAAGAGATAAAGGAGGAGGTGGCCGATCTCCTCGACAGTAAAATGAAGGAAGAGATGGCAGAGCTTCTTGAGAATAAAAATAGAGAAATGAGGGAAGACATATTATTTGCATTTCAAGGGTTAGCTACTCATATTGAACGCTTGGATGACCAGGTGGATGAAGTTGTGGAAAATACTGAAAAATTAGAAAGCAGAGTTGTCAAAGTTGAAAATAAGATTGATATAACAGAGGATGAAGTCACCATTTCACAATATAGAGATATGGAATTTGCATTGCGAATAAGAGGATTAAAAGAGAACTCACGAGAAGATCTGAAAGAGGAGGTGGCAAGAGCTATAGCTCCCATCCTGGGATGTGAACCTGAGGAATTATCAAGAGAGATGGATAAAATATTTAAGGTCAATTCATGGATTGCGAGGCAGAAAAATTTACCCAGAGATGTGGTTATTTATTTTTCTAGGAGATCACTTCGTAATGAAAGTATTCAGGCTTTTTGTAAGCAGAGATTTCAAATTGCAGATTAAAATATTATAATCTTAAAAGAAATACCTCCAAAAATTCTTAGAAAAAGATTTTGCTTTTCTGTCTGAGGAGCTTAAAAATCAACAGGTTCAGTTTAGATGGGAGATACCTGTTGGAATAGTGGTGAATTATGCAGGGACATGATATACACTTAATACAATTTCAAAGACAAAAGATTTTTATATTTCTGTCCTGAAAGCAGGTTCACCACCATCTCCACGACTTAAGAGAATAGAAGAAAGATAAACAGCCAGTCATTGGTTGTAGGAAATTTAACGCAGGCTGAACCTATTGAACAGAGTTTGGAGGTAAAGGATGATTCAAAGGAACACAGGATGACTCGTGCTGCGTATAGACGTAAAGAAAAGGAGCAGAAGCAGAAGGCTAATTTTGGATCAATAATACAAGGTCCGATTACTACAGAGCCTGTGGGAGGGACATGACCAAAGAGATCAACAGCTGATCTTCAAGTAGTGTTCCAGAGGCTCCAGGCTACTAAGGATGGCAAAGTTTCTGACATGGAATGTTAATGGCCTGAATTCACCACAGAAAAGAAAGAAAGTATTTCACTACTTGAAACAACATAAGAATGACATTGTTTGCTTGCAGGAGACTCATATTGCTGCAAAAGATCAAAAGTATTTGATTAGTTCTCAGTTGGGATCACATTTTATAGCTTCTGCCCCAGATAAAAAGGGGGGAGTAGTTATTTATGTAAGAAGAGATTTATCGGCTAGGTTAATTGAATCTGATATGTTATTATTGATTTAGGGCTACAAGGGAAGAAATTTCTTATTATTGGATTATATGCCCCTAATCAACAACAAATACAGTTTTATAAGTTGTTATATCATAAACTAACTCAATTGGATTATAAATCTGTTATTATGATGGGTGATTGGAATGGTGTTTTGGATTCAAGTAAAGACAAGAAGGGATCTTTCAAAACTTCCAATCATTCTAAATTACCTAAAGTTTTTTTTGATCTGAAAGATGATTTGGAACTTAGAGACATTTGGCGAGAACAGAATATGGAGGACAGAGATTTTACTTTTTTTTCGGATAGGCATCAATAATTCTCCAGAACTGATTTTTTTTAATTACTACTGATCTTTTCTCCAGGTCAAGAATGCTAAGATCTTTCCTAGAACATTGTCGGATCATAGTCCTGTATGGTTGGAGTTATTTGCTGAAGATGGGAATAGAAGATCTTAGGGTGAACGAAAATTTATTTAGATATGAGGGGCTTTCGCAGAAATGTAGAGAACGTTTGAAGGAATTTTTTGTTTTGAATATGTATAAAGGTACTTCGATGGCAATGGTTTGGGATGCCAATAAAGCTTATATGAGAGGGATTTTGATTCATATGAATAATGGACATAGGCGTAAGCAGATGCAAAAACGTAAAGAATTGGAAGAAGAGATTAAATCGAAGGAGAAGGCTTTTATTTTGAACCCACTGGATAATAGATTAAAGGTTTCTATAAATATGTTG